AAAAAAAAACTTCGAAGAAAAGAAAAAAAATCACTACAAAACTAGAAAAAAAATTAGAAAAACAACAACAAAACAAAGCTGGAAAAGAATAAAAAAATAAAGAAGAAAATATCGAAAAACGAAGAAAAAGGGTCATGGCACATAAAAGAAGAAAATAACCTCGTAGGCATAAGACAGAGCAATAATGAGGAATTAACTGATAAACAGAGAAAACAGATGGAAAAATTGAATTTCTAACCCTGTGCCATGTCCTTTAAGGAAGTTTTATCATGGATCTCCACAACTTCCTGTCATCCATTTTTGCCCTTGTTTTATTATCTAGGCACACGTTAGAATATATTAAAATAATTCGTCAAAAATTAATCGTGACAATACATTCTGGCGGGAGAGAAAAAAAAAATGAATCCGTTTTATCTGTGTCAACTGTATTTGAATTAAGCATCCCTCAGCTTTGGCTTAAATAGCAGAGTAGACGATGTTCTCATGCTCAGAGTCGCAGCCAGTGTAGAAATTCGACTTTGAATCGAAGAAAAAGCAACGGGAAACTACTCCAATATTTTCCCCAACAAGTCACAGAGACGCGCGCACACATTAAAGAATCCTTTTATAATTTATTTACCTCTCTAGCAAAGTTCAGATAATTATCCAGCTTTCTTTAATTGCTATGGGATATGTGGGTAATGTAATACATAGAGGCTAGGAATGATATTAGATTTTCTTACGCGCAAATACATTTGGGAAAGGCATGAATCCTTCTTCCCACAGATATTGGTAAAACGGTAGAATTTATATCTGAAAAAATAATTTATTTTTCAAAAATTGTTAATGCAATATTCACTCAGAAAAAGAAGAAGGGGGGGTTGTTCTTATAATGCTAAATAGCTTTCAGCATTAGATAATCCGCAAAGTGCTGATAAGTCGTAAAATAAACCAATCATTACTCAGTGCTATGATGAGACAAGTAATATCCACTACTCTCTTAGGATTAACTCTTGTCTCTTGGCCTGGAATAGAAGATTGTTTTATATCTCAAATTTTTCAGAGTACTTTCTATTTTGAAATTCTTGACTCCTAGTTCTGGGTTAAATAAAATGACAGACTAGGGCTCTTATGCACTGGATAACCAGTCAAGGAGAAGGACACCCATGAATTGAAAACTACTGGAAAAATGATTCCATCATCTTTCTCAAGGATCCATCTTTTCTGTGCCGTGTCTATTTAAAACGTAAGCAATCATGGCCCTCCACATCTTCCTGTCCCTTGTAGCTCTGTACCCTGTTCTATTATCCATTTTCTCAAGCTCATCAAGTATGTTTCCTTTCTCTCAATCTATCCAGTGGGTATCAGATTTTCCAAGCTTACGTGACCCATAAATTTTAACTGTCTCTTTCTGATGTTAAGTATAAGTTTCTTTTTTGTTTCCATTTTCTCTAGAACCTTATTGTTGCTCATATGTTTAATCTGTTACCCTCGGCATCCTTCTATAGAATCACCTTTCTGTTGCTTCAAGTCTTTTCTTCATCTTTGAGATTGTCTAGCATTCGCTGCCATAAGTAATTCAAATATTAAAGCAAAAAAAGCTGCGACGATTCATAGCCGCTTCTGTCCCGAAATAATATGGCATTGAAAATACGTAAGCAAAGTTGCAAGTTTTTTATTTTTGACCACTGTTTTTACCGTTAATTAATTGAACCATAGTTATTTTCTGTACCGTTTGTCATGGTAAGCAAAAGCGAGAAATAAAAGGGGGTCATCAGTGTTCAAGAAAGCGTTACTGGCAGAATATGGCTTTCACCATTAAAAAATAACCCAATATCTTACAAGAGACTAATATAAAATTCCTAATTTCTAAATCCATGCTGTTACTGCGGCAATTAGATTACCATTAAAAGTGTTGGGAGCAATCACAGTTGAAGAGGTTGAAAACAAACAGGTCCCCAGCTATTTGTGTATAGGGTTGTTGATGTTTAAAAATGGTGGCTCTTAAGTTATGCCCCTAAGTTCAGTTTTTGATCATTTGAAAGATTCAAAAAGAAGAAGAAGAAGAAAAAAAAGAAGAAGAAGAAGAAAAAAAAGAAGAAGAAGAAGAAAAAAAAGAAGAAGAAGAAGAAAAAAAAGAAAAAGAAGAAGAAAAAAAAGAATAAGAAGAAGAAAAAAAAGAAGAAGAAGAAGAAAAAAGAAGAAGAAAAAAAAAAAGAAGAAGAAAAAGAAAAAAGAATAAAAGAAGAAAAAAAAAAAAAAAAAAAAAGAAGAAAAGAAAAAAAAAAAAAAAAAAGAATAAGAAGAAAAAAAAAAAAGAATAAGAAGAAAAAAAAAGAAAAAAAAAAAAAAAGAAAAAAAAAAAAAAAGAAAAGAAGAAAAAAAAAAAAGAATAAAAAAAAAAAAAAGAAAAGAAAAAAAAAAGAAAAAAGAATAAGAAAAAGAAAAAGAAAAAAAAAAAGAAAAAAGAAAAAAAAAAAAAAAAAGAAAAGAAAAAAAAAAAAAAAAGAATAAAAGAAAAAAAGAAAAAAAAAGAAAAGAAAAAAAAAGAAAAAGAAAAAAAAAAGAAAAAAAAAGAAAAAGAAAAGAAAAAGAAAAGAAAAAGAAAAGAAAAAGAAAAAGAAAAGAAAAAAAAGAAAAGGAAAAGAAAAGGAAAAGAAAAGAAAAAAGAAAAATGGAAAAGAAAAAAGGAAAAAAGAAAAAGAAAAAAGAAAAAGGAAAAAAGAAAAAGAAGAAAAAAGAAAAGAAAGAAAAGAAAAAGAAGAAAAGAAGAAAAAAAGAAAAAAGAAGAAAAAAAAGGAAAAAAGAAGAAAAAAAAAAGAAAAAAAAAACCCCCAAAAACTGAGCGTCGACCTACAAAAACAAGGAAAGAAAAAAAATCCCCAAAAGACCAGGGTCAGTAAGAGGAGGTGGGATCGAAGTATGCGGAGAGCAGCCAATTAAGACAGTATAAGATTTTGTTGATCTTTCGTTGTCGGTTCCTGACGTATTCAGTGTCGGTCTCTGGCAGTGGGAGTTGGAAGATTAGACACTTACAACTGACATTTTATTTTTTAGTGGAAGTTGTGAGAATATTTTCGCGTTAACCGAACACGCTGGAGTTTCAATTGCTAAACACTTGTTCGCCTTTGGAATCTAACGCGGGAAAATAGCTACATGAGGGGGAAAAAAACAACAGGGTGAGAAAAAAAATGTTTTAAAATCATCGCTTCTTCTACTCTAAAATATTCAATTCATATTGTCTGTCCTATACAGACGTTTAAAGATGCGCGGGTAGCCTAACAACTATCGGCGCAGAAAGAGAAATCAGCGAGCCGAGTTCAATTTCGGCTTAAAATCAAAAAAACTTTCTAGGTCACTGAATCTTAAACTTTCTCGGGCTACAAACGCCCTCAGTGCAGAAGGATTTATTTACGACACGCTGAATCAGAAAATACGGAATAACTGCATTTATGTTCACATAGGTTAGTTATTTAAAAAAAAACAAAAAAACAATGGATGAGTGGGTACTGTAACAGATATCAGCGTAGGAATGTGGAATCGGTGAACAGAGTTCAAATTCCGGAGTCGTCTGTTGTTTTTACTTTGGACTAAAACTCTTAGTAAAAGCATAAGCCCTTCTCTTCTTTACTCCCCTAAATGTCAGAGTTAAACTTCAGGGCAGATTGAACTGCTAAAGCTTTAGGTGGCAGCTAGGAAAAAGGTAAGTCGGAATACGAAACCTTACAAAAAGCAACGGAGAACCATTATCTTTCCTAATAACTTATGGAAATTCTCAGATAAGGAAAATAAATATATAGAGACCTATGGTCCCCTAAGTACTAAAAAACGAGAGCTTGATTTGATTGATTAGTTATTTTACGGCTTATCAACCTTTGCAGGTTATTGAAAGCCAAAAAGTATTTTTAGATTGTAAGAGTTTTTTTGGGACATAATGATTTACTGATACAAGCCCAACTCATTAACCCATAGCTGGGCGGAAAAGGAGTGGATTCATAAATTTCCAAATTTTTTTTTTATCGTAAGTGAATGTAATGAACACGACTGGAATTCGAACTCGGCTAGCCGATTTACAATTCCGAGTCATTATCCATTACACCGCCCGCACATCCAACCTTACAACATCAGGTATTTCCAAGCAAGCACTCATCTAGGTACTGACCAGGCTCGACGTTGCTTAACGTGATTGTAAGAGAAAGAACGGATTAAATGATTAGGTTAAGTTATAAATAATCTCCCTTTTTGTTTATGAACTTGGTTCAAAAAAAAAAAAAAAAAAATTACATTTTACTCAATTATATGTTCACCATTATTTGCAATGACTTGCTTCCAGTTATTAGGCAGTTCTTCGATACTTTTTCAGTAAGATTCCGGATGGTTTTGACGTGTGAAAAATATTTGGGCATAGATCGAAAAGGTAATAATCAGTTGGTGCAAGGTCATGGTGGGGTAATGGATAACGTCTCATAACGTCGAGATCTCATCAATTTAAAGTTGAGCTGGCTGAGATGTAACCGTAAATTCTATGCTAACAATTTCTTTTCTCACACTTCTCGCTTGTGGAACTCCTTTTCAGCTCATTGCTTTCCAGTCAACTTTAACCTGCAAATATTTGAATGCAATGTCAATCACTATCTACTGTTCCCCTGATTACTCTTTTCTGTTACCGCTCATTATTAATGTTTCTATTCCTAATTTTTCCAAACCTTGTAACACCTTGTGTCTTAGGGGCTTTACTCTCTTGGATGGGGTTAGTTGTTTTTGTTTTTTGTAGCATATCAACCTCCATAGGTTATTTAATGCCGAAATCTGAATATTTTTGTACACAATTTTATTTTACTTTGAGTTTAGTGACACAAATCCTAATAATTAACCCATAGCAGGAGAGAGAAGAGATGGATTCATACAATTTTCAAGAGTATTTGCGCGTAAGTGAATATAACGAATTCGACTGGGATTGGAACTCTGCTCTCCGATTTTAATTCGGAGTCATTATCCGTTACACAACTCACACATCCAAGCTTACAGAACCTAATATTTCCAAGCGGTCATCCATCTCGGTACTGATCAGGCTCGGCTTTGCTTAACTTCGGTACTAGTACGGGAACCGGTGTTTCAACGTGATGCTTCTATAGAATATCATGGACTAAACGTGTAAGTCATGAAATAGTTTTAAGGAAAATGGAAAGAAAAAGAAGTCTTGTACTTGGAATCAGAAAGGGAGAGTAAGACAGTCTTCAAAATATAATTTTCTTAAAATAAGCAACTTCGGATTTTGAACAGTACTCTCCTGTGCTGTGTCCCTTCAAGACGTGGGTGATCATAATACTCAATTGATTTCTAGAAATAAAAGTTCTTTCTGTGGCTAAATTGGCAATATCATTCAAATTTTAAGAGAAAAAAAATGAGTCAAATTAAGCCGCATGGTGCTCTTCTGCCAATAATAATAATACTTATAATAACAAAAGCAAATTTGAATTATCACATTTTAATCGCCGGCTGAAGTACAAATATTGCCCCGAGTACTGTCTTACTATCACCGTGATTGTCAAACCTTTCATCAAATTGGCCATATCTACTAATTCCCATAGATGTCTATTAAGACAGGTACAGTTGCAATAGTATAATGCTTATCGGGCCTGAAAATGAAATCACTGAGACAAATTCAAATTATGGTCGTTTCTATTTCATTCACTTTGTGTTAATGCTCTTGGAAAAGGCATGGATTAGTCTTCCTCCAGCTATGAGTAAAATAACAGGACAGACTGGGTACTAGAGTCCAGTCTAAGAGAAATGTGCCAGAAATCTAACTTGAGAAGTGCCGTTTGGAAACACCGTAGCACACTGCACCATTTCTTTTATCAGTTCTTCTAAAAAGTGGGATTAGTTCTACAAATCATGTGTGGATAATTTGTTAAGTTCTAAAAAGAAACAACTGGAACCTGCTTTATCACAGTCGACGGGAGAATCCACTACCCATTAAAATTTAAAAACTATCATTATTCTGTGTCCAGAACTGTGTCCTATAATTTTAAAATTCGCCGATGTCGTCAATCATTAACAAAATCAAGAGTCTTAAAATTTCAACATCATAATATTTGATTAGACAATTTGGCTGTTTATTACTAAAGACAAAGAAACAAACAAGCAACGCATGCACACAGAAACAGAAAAAAAAAAAACCTCAATATCATTCCTGTTGTCACTGACTAGATTCTCCAGAATTCACAATTGTGTCCATTCTATGTCACTCTCCTTATCGATTCATTTCACGCCTTCAGACTTACAGAAAAGGCCACATTCCTGCATCTTGTCTTTCTAATGTTATAAAAAAAACGGGGTTTTATTTCCAACTCAATCTCGTACATATTCTAAAAGATTTCCAGTCATAATTTATGTCCAGTACCATTTATGGCCGTCATCATACACTGATATGTACGGCATTTACTCATGCTGCCACCTATGTTCTTAACCATCCGTCCCCCCACCGCAAGCGGGAACGATGCTAGAGAGCTTTTTTTTCTTTTTAAAAAAAAAAAAATTCAAGCTGGCGAATTGTTCCCTCCTCTGGTTCCATTGATACCGAATAAGCCATTTATGAACTGTCAAAAAAAAAAAAAAAAAAAAAAAAAAAAACACAAAACAAAAAAAAACACAAGACAAAAAAAAACAACAAAAAAAATCCAAAACAAAAAAACAAAACAACACACAAAAAAATCACAGACAAAAAAAACACAAACAAAAAAAACACACACACAAACAAACAAAAAAAAAAACACACACACAAACAAAAAAAACACACACAAACAAAAAAATAAAAAAAAACCCAGTCTTTATACAGAGAAAGTGTAAATATTGGTAACATAGGAAGGGGAACAGTCTTTTTGGGTGGGAACTTTTATCGAGAGGTCGAGATAGCATTCACGTGAGGCAGGAAGGGTGTTGCAGATTGTAGATGGCAGGGATACTTAGCAAGCCGGTGGCCTCTGTTACAGCACTAATACCTTTTTGTTCGAAGGCTACGATTCTTTATTATTTCAATAGCAATTTGGGAAAATAAGCGGTGTGGAAGTAGAGTAAGGTTTATCGAAGTGCAAAATGGTATCAGTGAGCATTGTTCTAATTCCGGTTTTGTCTAGTGCATTCACTTTCATTATCGCTTGGGAAAATTATGAATCCATCTTAACCTCCATCCCTTCAGCTGTAGGTTAAATGGAAGTGTACACTAAGCTTTCTAGCCTTGAATACACTGAATTCAAAACCGCAAAGGAGATAACGAGTAATCACTATTTGGAAGAAGTCATAGCAATTCATAAGAGACGATGGAGAGCTATATTCGCCTACGTTTGGGAATGATAGGGTATTAAAAATGTTTGGTAAACAGATAGTAACCAATTTATGTTGGAGTAAATAGTCAAAAGAACAAGTAACACTAAGACAAAAAAAAATTGGTCGTTAAAAAAGTGGGAATGAGATTAAAATAGAAAAACAAATTGGAGAGCCATCTTCTCCTAGCTCTTGTAAGGGCATGGCAAGACTGAATCCAAGGGTACACCAATCACAAGTAAAATACAGTGTAACCTGGATATAAGAGAGTTGTCGGGACCGGAGAAGAAGTCTCTTGTATCCGGGTTTCTCTTATATCCGGGTTTGGTCTATTTTATATACATTAACACAGGCTCTAATTTGGGACCAGAGAAAATCTCTTATATCCGGGTTACACTGTATCTTGTTTTCCTAAGTTTTTCTATATTATTAAATACAAAAGTGAAAGTCAATTTAAGATCAGAGGATAATTACATGGTTATCAGGGATTGACGAAGGAATGTACAAAAATGGAATCAAAACGTGAGTTCTCATTTCCCGGATTGAAATATAAGAATTACTAATATTAGAAAAAAAAATCTACACCTAGAGGTTACAGCCTATAACGACACGCAGCGTCACTAATATATGGGCACAAGAAATAGTTCGAAGTAATAAAATTGACATTAAAACAATGAGAAGTTGAGGGATTAAGATTTCCTGATAGACAAGACAAGAATCAGTATAAAAGGCAATAAAAACAAAATGGCTATGTGTAGTTTGTTGGAAATTCCGAAGTAAAGTTGCGTTTTACGTGAACATTTATACAATAGAACGACTTGTCTAATAGCATAGATTAAACGTATATTTAAATATTCTAAAGTTTATAAATATTTACATATGTATACCTATTCAGATTCATTATATATATATATATATATATATGCGCGCGCACACACACACACACACACAGACAGACATCTCGAAAACTATAGGCATCAATCTTTGTCTTTTAAAAATATTTTTCTTGACACTTAACGAAGCGTGTACAGCTGACTGGTACGCATTAAGAATGCTTTAATTTGCCGTCTTCTTTTACTGGATAGGAAAATCATGAAAGTAAAAGCGTCAAGGAAGAATTCAGGGTTAATTAACAAGGAGTTGAATAGAAAAACATGGTTATTTAGATTTCGAGCCAACGGAACGGCTGTATAAATACTAGCACCATTTTTCTCCTCTGTGTGTATTTTTCATGCTTGAGTACATGTCAGTTGTAAGGCGAAAAAAAAAAATCAATGCTGGTTATTTAAGTCTTCGAAGTTGAGCTATTCAAGGAACAGTGTATTTTTTTTTAATCAACTATGATGAAGCAAGAAAGGGATATTTGTTAGTTGGCAAGTAAACTAGTTTTGTCTCATTTTTTTCTAACTGTAGAGATTAATGGGTTTTAGGTAGAAACCTACAATTAATACAGGATTTTTTTCAGGTTTATTTTTATTTATTGTATTTTTAAAATATTAAAATTTTTTTTTTTTTCTTTGGTGGAGGGAAGGCATTTTAAAGAAACTTTTTAATACCGGATTTCTATTTTTATTCTTTTCTTAATAAATAACAGTTTTTACGGACGGTATGGATGCATTAACATTATTACAAATCTAAAGAGAATCACCATCGATTAGTAACTTTTTGGATCCGTGGAAATTTCATTTTCCTTTATTCCTTCCAGACAATCGTCATCTATCTCTTTGTGATCCTTTCTCCTCGGTAACCTCTTGTATCCTAGTGGCTTTATTGCCTTGCTTGGGATTAAATTTTTTGTTTGATGAAATTTTTTTTTATTGTCCCTCCACATTTTTACTCGAATTTTACAAACCTCAATTAGTATGCAAACAACTATTTTCTGTCGCAGTCTGTTTTTTTTATCCATAAAGAATTTTAACGTCAATTTTAATATGCAATTTCAATCCTACCTGCTTTTCAATCTTCCGTTGTCTCTTTATAGTGATCTTCCAAGTGTAGCCTAGGTGTGGGCCAAGGCCGAAAGTAGGGACACCCAGTGAGGATAAATAAAAAGCTTGCCCGCCTATGTTTTAGAGGAATATAAAAAGAAATGAATTATATAGGACTATAAATTAAAAAAAAAATGATGCCGTATAAAAAAAAAAAACAAAACAAAAAGGAAAAAAAAATTCATTTTTTACCATAAGCTCCAGGAAACAATATCTTACGTAAATAGGGTCATGATTGGTTAAATTTGAATACCGAGAACAATGGGTTAGTCAGAGGAAAACAATGCTAACACTAATTAAATACACATTTTGAAGGAAATTGCCGATGATTTAGCAGTTTTATTATAATATAAAAAGCAGGTGTTCAACAACATTATTTTTTATTGCAAGAGGCTTTCAAAATTAATTTGAAAATTATGGGAAATTGCCTAGAAATAGTCATTTTTTTTTAAATACTCAAATCCTGTGCAGCAAAAAAAAAAAAAAAGAAGATTTTATTTTTTAAATAATCAGCTTTCCAAAATTAGCTAAGAAAAAGTTAGCTTGCACCAAAACGTGTTTAGATGTGTTAGTGGTACTGGATATGAATCAGTCGGTTAATATTGCAATTACAGCGGGCATCTATTCTCAGCAGTTAGATTCTCAAACACGGAAGTAGAAGGCGATCAGTCGCGAAGGTGTGGTGTTTTATCGTGATAGTCCAACGACCACATACGACAAAGATAAGCTTACAAAAGCAATACACTACGTCAAAAAGCTTGTCTTGTGAGTTCAATATTCACAGTGTGTCCCATACTTTTGGTCTT